AGAAGCATGAAGCCTTGAGTTCAAACCCCAGTACTGCCCCCCAAAAAAGAAAAAACCTCCATGTGAGCACCACTCTTCACCAGAGGGACTGCAGCTCTCCCAAGAGGGATTTGCAGGGCCCACTCTCCTGAGCCTAGTATGCAGATAGGAAATGGGTCCTGACAAATTAGAGACTTCAGAGGCTGGAGCCCTACTTAGCCCACCCCCACCCCTACCCTGAGCCCATTTTCCCCATGGTGGCTGCCAAGTGCTTGTTGTTTAGCATTTCTAGATGCATGGTGTCTGGAGCCCCTAAAATATTTATTGGCTGAATTGATTAAAGCACATCTGCTCCTGTGACTCCATGCTTCACACCTTTTGATTGCATGCTTCCTCTCCAGCCTCCTTGCCTACAAAATTAGGCCTGACTTCCTGGCATGGTGCTGAAAGTATTCAGGGCTCTGTCCTGGCATCGTCTCTTTTTCAGCCCCATCTCCTTCATACACACCCTTCCTTACAGTCTGAGGAGAGAATGTCAGGAAGAGGGTACCTGAGGGGTCTTTCCAAAGGTGCCCTAAGTTTTCCCTGTTCCCTGGCCTATGTTACCCTCTTATATCCAGCATGGTCTCCCACTTGTCAGTTCCTGTCTTTCACTCAGACATCACCTCCTCCAAGAAGTGTTCCATGATACTTCCCAGGTACGATTAATCTCTACCCTTATGCATACATGACAACCCTTCCTGGGAATGTCCTCCCCGTGCCATCAACCCCATTTGGCCACTTACTCATCTCTGTATACCATCCCTGCCACCTCCGTGTCTCATCATTCCTAGGATACGTCAGGAGTGTTTGTGTGTATGTTTTAACTTGAGTCAAAGATAAGCATGCAGAATGTGAGAATTATGAAAGATTGAACACTGGGGACTGGGCATAAGATAGTTTCATTGTCATCAGGAAAAGCTCCTAAAAAATAAACTGAGCAAGGACTGTGTGTAGATAAACCAATTCAAACTGTCAGGGCTGACCAGGCTTTTAGAGGTCTCCAAGCAGCACAACCCCTCCCAGTTTACAGAGGACTCCAGGCACCCAGGTCATCAAAGCACTGAACAGTAGAGCCAGGCCCTTGGGGATCACCGGCTTCCACTGTTCCTGTTTTCCCTCAGCCTTCACTTTAGCTTCATGTCCAACACATGCCATCAGTGACCCTGTCTTTCCATGGGACATCCCTAGCTGGGGGGATGAAGAAAACGTATACAGAAGCATGCGTGTGTGTAGCACGGGGGCCAGTTATAGTGTCCTCTCAGGACAAGTAAGGAATGTGAAGCTCTGGGAGGTGGGACACACAGGGTTACACCAGTTCAGTGGGTGTCTATGGATACAAACTCCATGTGGTCCCATTAGCAAGTGTTTTAGGTCTCCATGCTCTGCAGAGGGCAAAGCAGGAGAAGGTCCCTAAGGAAAATGACTGGCAGAGCCAGTGGACACAGATTTTGAAAAACTGGAGGGGTGGAGGGGAAGGAGGGACTCACCCCCAGCCTCCCTGGTCCTAGTTAGGAGCCTTCTTGTGATCCTTCATTGGACTCCAGGTCCACCCTATCTGACAGGATTTCTGTCAAAGCAGTATCCTCTCAGAATTTAGGTGCCCTCAGGCCTAACAACCTGAAAATGCTGGAGAGGTGTGGACAGTCTTCAGGCAGCTCCAGTTTGCCTCTGACCCTTGTCTTTGGAGTACCAGCTCTGTGCCTGAAGGTCTTCCTAATCACTTGTCAACCCCCTTATTTTGTAGAAATGAGACTGAAGCCCAGAAAGGGAAGGGCCTTGCTCTGGATCACACAGTGAATTAGTCTCAAATTCTCATGCACTCGGTCTGCCTTCTTCTCTGCTCTCTTTTTTTTTTTTTTTTTTTTTTTTTGCTTTGCTGTCTTGTTTGACATTGAGACCCCTTTCTGGAGGCAGAGACTAGTAGAGGTTAAATCTTAGCACATAACCTGATGGTTAGTGGGTGTGAATGTATGTTTGCTGGTTGGTTAAGTGAATGCATGAATGTGGGCTCCTTTTGCGGGGAGAGTGGCCCTTTCTGGGCAACCTGATTTATATATCATCTCCAACACTTTGAATCTCTGCTCATGTACCCCTACTGCCAGACAAAGGGCCACTTAAGGTCCTGGCACATCAGATGCTAAAACTGCTGGAGCATGAGGATGCACTGGAATGTGGGTCTGAGGTTCCTCGTGGAGGCACTAAAAGGTTAACTCTTAGGAACAGTAGTTGGTGTCCTGGGGCAGGTGCATGCTGGGATTGAGAGTATAGAGGTAGCACACACAGGCCTCTGCCCTGGAGGGAATGACAAGTGCACTGGTAGCTATGGTAACAGGGTGCTCTAAGGAGGTGACCTGGAGGTGTGCAAATAGCTGAGCTGGACCTTGACACGCTGACTGGCCTTAGATCAGTCATCACTCTGTCATTCAATCCACACACATTCATGACCCCAGCATGTGCTGGGCACTGTGCTCAGAAGTGAGTTAAGAGCCACAGCCCCTCCTGCCAAGACTGGGTAAGGTGCCCCCCCTTCCCCCACCCCCGCTCCATTCTTCCTAATCCCCCAGGACTTCTCATGGAACAGCCCCCATCTCCCTGCATGGAGTACCCGGTTAGGTGTCTACTGTGTGAGCCTCTCAAAGGCAAGACCAGAGCTGTCTGTTCTCTGCCTTGTCCCCAGTGCCCAGCACTGGGCTGCCTGTCACCTTAGCATTTGGCTCTGTTTTGTGAAGAGTTGAGCCTAGTGAGGTCTGAGTTCTATAGAGCTTCTGCTTTCTGCTCTCACCACTCCACCACCACCTCCCATCCCCCACATTCTGCCAGAGTCTCTGGCTGGCCAAGTCCTGAAAGCTGGGAGGGCGGTGGGAGGAGGAAGGTGAGACTCGCTGGGCAGCTTAGCAGAGGGTGAGAAAGCCTCCTGCTGCCTGGCCGCAGGCACCGCAGGAAGGTTCTGGCAGGAGCTGCCTGCTGGGCTGAGATCACCATGGAGACCTGGCTTGGAGAGGGTCACTGGCAGTGGCTAAGGGCTGGTGGGGGTGGGAGACACAGGGATTTGTGCAGTCTCCCATCCTGCCCCTGGCCCTTGAGGGGGAAAAGCTGGGGTTCGTCACTGTCTAGTGTTGGATGTTTGGAGCAGCCCACCATAAATCTCCCCTCACTAGTCACCCAGTAGATTCTTCAACTTGGCAACTGTCCTTGAACTGCAATAAAGCTGGCTTCTGGATAGAGGCCCCCAACCCTCTGCTGAACCTGGCACCCCAGATGCCATATTCCTACCACCTAATCTCTGCAGCTGGTCCTGCTTGTCACCTTAACTGTGGAGACCTGACATCCCCACAGCCCTCCCTACCCCCAAGAGCTGCTTTTCTGCCTACCACCCTGATTGTGATAGCTGTCACCTCACAGGCACACTGCTTGCCACCACCACCCTCCCCAGTACTCCATCCCCTATTGCCAGTGTCACAGCAGGCAGCCCCTGCCCTCCCCCATGCCTCTGCCTGCTGCTGATCACCAGGATGGGGTGCTGCCCCTGCCCTGCAGGAACTCACCTGATCTGAGACACACACACACACACACACACACACACACACAGCCCTTGGGGGAGTCCTGGCAAGTCCAGCCTCAGGACAAAAGTCGTCCCTGGGGCTGACTGCCCAGCAGACAGCAGCTGAGACTGAGCAGAATGTCAATGTGGCCCTGTTGGAAAGGGAAGCCAAGAAAGTACAAGGGAGGAGAGGCTTTCTGTTGCCGCCTGGCTCCTGCAGCTGTGGGGGAGGATGGATGGCTCGCAGAGGAGTCTTAGGAGGAGGCTTTAGCACCCCACCCCTTCCCCTAATTCTGGAGGAAATAGTCACACACTGGGAGTGGGAGGCATGAGTCCCAGGGCCCTGGGAGGTGGGCAGGCTAATGACCAGAGGTCTTAGGAATAACCAAGTCCACCTTCTCCTGTCCTTGGTCTTGTCACTCACTCCAGAGAGCTGTGAATCCAGAGGGTCTGGCCAGGCAGAGTTGGATCCCCCGATCATGGTTAGGACTGTCTAGGAGAAGAGGGTGCTTCCAACCTCCAGTGTCTAGTGTAGGGACTGAAGACTTGGGAGTTTCTGAGCTTCAGGAAGGCAGCATTCTATCAAACCCACATGGCCATGTGTTGGGCAGTTTCTTTATTCCTTCATTCAGACAGACTTCCTCATTACCTCATCCGTCTAAGTAGCAGAATGGCATGGGTGGGACTGGGAAGAGGGTCGGATTTAGAAGAAATTGAAGCAGTGGTTCACACCTGTGCTGTGCTGCAGCCTTGTCCTCTTCCTTATATCATTCTCAGAGCAGCCTAGGTTAGAGAAATTACTAAGTGGCTCCAGGAAAATAATTTATAATGCACTGTGTTCAGACTATACCAGAAGCAACTAAGGTACAGTCCTGCCAACAAACTTACGTGATTGTTCTAGTGCCCTCTTCTTCCATTTTTTTGTTTTGTTGTGTTGTTCTTTGAGACAAGGTCTTGCTATGTTGCCTAGGCTGTCCTGGAACCCTGGCTCCTTCTGCCTCCACCTCCCAAGTGCTTAGATTACAGGCGTGTGTCATTGCACCTGCCCCTTTTTACTGATGAGTAAACTGAGATTCACAGAAGTTCAACTCTTATACAAGGTGTTGTTTGGCACTTGAACCCAGCTGTTTCTAACTCCAGAGCCCAGACTTTAACAAATCCTACTGCTTGGGACTTTGACACTTCACGCAGCCCATCCCTCACCTCTTTGTGTGGACTTGGGCATGCCTGTTTTACAGATGGGAAACTGAGCTCAGAGATGGCCAGGTGCAGTCCCAAAGTCACATGGGGGCCAATTCTGGAAGAAAGGACAATATGGCTGGCTTCTCCCAGAATCCTGCTGGGAACTGAGTGGAGCCCCCTCTTAGGCTTCCTGGTTTCAGAGTTCAGTATCTACCTGCTGCTGACTTCTGCCTCTTTTCTTTATGTTTCTTTGCAGCTTTCAGAAAACCAACGCCAAGACCCCTCCCCGCGTCCACATTGTCCTCTGGCAGGAGCACCTGCCCCTCTGCCTCCCACCCACCCTCTGCAGCCCCATCTCCTCCCACCCCCCCATCTCCTCCACGCAGAAGCCGAAGGTGAGCCCTTTCTGCACAAAACCAGCAATTGTAAATACTTTTTAAAAATGTACAAAACTTAAAAACAAAACACAGTTTTAGAAAAAGACAAAAAAAAAAAAAGAGAGAGAGAGAGAGAGAGAGAGCGTGTGCAAGAGGTTGCGAGCAGGGCCTCGAGGTGTCCAGAGCCCTTGCAAGTATGCACTGAGAAATTTATCTACAGGTCGTTTGACAAAAATGAACAATATCCTATTTATTGTATATACTGTTTTATTATAAATCGTGGATTGTATATTGCATTCTGTAAACCTGCTGTGGTCCCGTGGTGTGCAAATTCGCATGGTTGGGGGGAGGGAGAAGAACCTCTTGCGGGAGCTTTTTTTTTCTTTCTTATTTTTCACTCTTTTGGGTTTTCTCTTCTGTTGTTGTTGTTGTTTTCTGTTGGCAGGACACACCCAAAGATCCAAGTTTGTATTAAAAAGAAATGAAAAAAAGCAAAAAAAAAAAAAAAAAAAAAAAACTTGTGTCTTGTGAAAGGGGTTGAGTGAGGGTGGATGGAATGGAAGGGACACACAGAAGAGACACACAACTTGATTTTGAAATACCTACATATGTCCTACCTCTGATTCTCCTTTCTGCCTGAGATCCGGGTCCCCCATTGTACCTGCCTCTGAGCTTCCTCATTTTCCTCCTTAGGATTCCTGACCCCTAGGCCATGCATTCTGCCCCCAGGTTCAGGGAGTCTGTCACTTGGCCCTCTGTCCTGGGGCTCCCCTGACTATTCTATCCCAAGTCTCACGTCTTCCTTTCTTTGTTTTATTTATTTAATTTTTTAAGCTTTTTTTTTTTTTTTAATCATATCGTTGTACTGGGGGTACATTGTGAGATTTACAGAACTGCTTATAATCTATCTTAGTTGAATTCACCCCCTCATCATTCTCCTTTATCCCCCTCCTCCCATCTCTTTCTTTGAACCCTTTATCTTCCAAAGCCTGCATTTCCTCTCCCTGAGGATCCCCCATTATGTGCCTAGTCTTGGCTCTCCTCTTTGGACTCCCCCATTCCAACCCAGGTCGCAGGGCTCTGCCCTTAGTTCCTTCATTTGTCCTGTGTCTTCCTGGTCCCACAGTTCTACCTGGTTCAGGGATACTCATTTTTGAGACACACCCTGGCTCAAGGACACCTTGTCTTTGAGACATTTATTCCACCTTAAGACAAAGAACCCTTTTGAGACCCTGTTTCCTCCTAGGACTGGAGTAGCCCTTACTGTATGTTTCCCATTCACCCCAGGTCCTGGGTCTCGTCAGCCTCCTCGTCACTCATTTTACCCCAACACACTCATATCTGTTGCCACAGAACCTAAAACATGACCAGGCCAATCACCCCAGTGTTTCTCCACCTTTCTTTCCACCCTAAGTCCCAAATGCTGGGCCTGTGTTTCCTCCCAGCTTTGGTAAACTGTAAAGAAAGAAAACCAATCCTGAGCCTGTTTCTGCCAGGCCTGGAAGGACTGAGCTGCTTCCCACTCCCTGACCTTAGAGAGCTCTTGGCTGCCCTTATGCAAACAGTGCCCACTTTGACCTCCTGGTCTTTAGGAGGAGTTTTTCCCATGACCCATTTTATGTTAAAGCTCTCCTGAGGGTGGCTTCCCCTGTCCCTCATCAGGGTCACTCAGGCAGACACCAAGGGACAGCTCCATGTGGCTTGGCCTCCTGGACCCCACCAGCAAGGCCCAAAACCTTAGGGTAATCAGAGGAACTCCGGTTCGAGGGGTAGCACACCCCACCTTCTGGGCACTGCTGCCTAAAAGTGGCAAGAGAACTCTCATAGGTCACAGTCCCTGAAAACTGCAGCCTCTGCTGGATATAAAGACTCATCTGCCTGCCCAGCCCCCTCCACAGATCCCCAAGATGAAGACCTTGGCTTTACCCTTCCTGTCTGTGGAGGGAAGACAACATCACGCTCAAGCTGACAGTCCCCTGTGGAGCTGGAAGTAGGGGTAGGAAGCAGTAAGACCTCCTGAAGGCTAGGGAGGGGGCCAGCTTTCCAGAGGAGGAAGCTTTTTAAGAGCCAAGCCTAGGGTGCTGCAGGAAAATGAGGGAGTTCCCGGAGGAAGAAAAGAGCATGTGTGAAGGCCCAGAGGTGGGAGAGTGTAGCAGGAGATGGAAGCCACAGTTGAATCTGTAGACACTGCATGTGTTCAGGGAGGGAAAGGGTTTTGTCAAGGTCACTCTGGGGCAGGGAGGAGGCTTTTTTTTGGTGGGGGGGGGGGAGAGGAGGAATAGGAACCCAGTGGAGGAAGTTGGAACAGGCCAAGCCAAGAGAAAGAAGTCTGTTTGCAGCCCCAAGAACTGCCTGCAGGGAAAAAATGAGTGTGTTCAGCAGCTGCTGAGAAGGCAGAAGAAACTGGGGAAGCTGGCCAGGTGGGGTTGGGATGAGCTGGCTCAGAGGGAATCAGGGTTCAGTCAGAGGGTGAGGCTTCAGAGGGACAGTGGGGATATTGTGCGGTAGAAGGGACTGGGACTCCATAAGAGATGGGCCTCAAGAAAGGAGGAAAGGTAGTGAAGGGCTGTGCACCACAGAGCTCAGGAGCTGTGGGGAAAGGAGACCCATGAAGGAGACAGGAGGTAATTACAGGACAGTGAGAGGCCTCCTCAACATGAAGGAAAGATGGGGCTTCACTGCAGAGAAGGGGCACAGAGAGAAGGGATGGGAGGGAGGTTTGGGGAAGAGAACTGGAGCTCCATGAGAGAAGAAGGGAAGGGTCAACAAGAGATGGGTCATCAGGGAGGACAGGAGAGGGGTCTTAGCTGGTAGGATCTGCTGCTCAGTAAAGGGTGAGGACAGCCAAGGTGTATTTTAGAGACTAGATTCAGGGGATCTGGACTTTGGGATGGAAGGGTTTTGTGCCCTTAGGCACTGGGGTCCCTAAGGAAAGACCCAGGTGAATGGGGCAGGAATAGGGATCACCCTGTTTAGATCTGTTCTTTTCAGAGGATGGGACTTTCCCCACCTCTACTTCCACAGCCAGGGTGCCACACCTGATCCCAGAAGGCCACACCTGATCCCAGAAGGCATCAAGACTACTAGATTATTTGGGTTTTGCCACTTTTTTTTTTTTTTTTTTTTTTTTGGTGCAGTTCTACAGTTTGAACTCAACACCTTGAGCCACTCCACTAGCTCTTTTTTGTTTGTGTGTTTTTGTGTTTTTTGTTTTTTGGGTTTTTTTTGGAGACAGGATCTGGCTTCGAACTGGGATCCTCCTGATCTCTGCCTCCTGAGTAGCTAGGATTATAGGCATGAGCCACCAGCACCTGGCTCCACTGTTTCTTAAACACTTCCTTGGGGTCTTTACTTTTCAGAATAATCCTTGAGATAGACAATAACCATTTACTATTTACAGGTGAGAAGACAGCTTCACAGATAATGGAGTGACTATCCTTGAGTCACTTATCCAAACTCACATGGGAAGTGACAGAAGTAGGTTGGCCCAAAGACTGACTTTGCTTTTTCATAGCATTTAAAAGAAAAAAATAAAGAAAAAGTAGGGCTGAAGGTTTGGCTCAAGTGGTAGAGTGCCTGCTTTGTAAGCATGAAGCCCTGAGTTCAAATCCCAGTTCCACCAAAAAAAGAAATCACTTTAGTACTGGGGGTATAGCTCAACAGAAAAGCACATGCTTAGCATGTGGGTTTGATCCCAGGTGCCCCCCCGCAAAAATATTCTGCTTATAAAATCCAAAAAACCCATTCCATAATAAAAATTTCCTTAGAGCTAGGAATGCAACTTAGTGGTAGACTACTTGCCTAGCATGCTCGAAGCCCTGGGTACTTTTCCCAGTACTACAAAAATAATAAAAAAATTAATGATAGAAATATAGTAATAGCAAAAATTATACAGTACTTTCTATATACAAGCTACTCTAAACACTTTACATGTATAATAATTCAGATTCTGTCTCCACAACAATGCCATGAGCTTTCATTGTAACAATTATTATCCCCATTTTGGGAAAGGCAAGTGCAGAGAGGTAATTTGCAAAGAGTGTTCAGTAAGTGCTGACAACAGAGTTCAAAACCAGTAGTCGGGTTCTGAAGTCTTGCACTACACTGAACTGGTACAAGTGAAAATCCTGAGCTGGTTTATAGCTCAGTGGTAGTGCTTGCCTATCTTGAACAAGGCTCTGGGTTTGATCCCCAGCACCAAAAATAAGCCAAAAACTGGCTTTCCACCCCTCCCCACCAATAGCCTTGTGTCAGAGTTTTCCAATCTATTCACCTGCAGCAGTGGTTCTCAACCCTTTCATTAAGAGGAATCACCTGGAGAACTTCAAAACGCTGATGTCCAAGTTCTGCTCCAAGAGATTCTGGTTTTATTGGTCTGGGGTGGGGCGTGGGCATTTTTAAAGGCTCCTCACACGGTTCTAATGAGCAACCAAAGGTGAGCCTCTAATCTGGCTATTGTACTGAGCGTTTGCACACAAGCAGCCACCTGTGCGCACACACCCATATTTAATGTGTCGTTCTAGGCATGCCTATGATGCTTTCCTGTGTGAACACTGTGGTGACATCCAGGAGTATCTTGGAAGTTACTGTGGCTTCTCTGAGTGACTGCTAAGAGACACTTTGTGAACATGCATTCAACACAAATTGCTTAAGCACCTGCAAGCTTCCAAATACTGGCCCAGGCACTTGGGGACCCAACAATGAGCTAGTTGGGACGCTGCCTTTCAGCATATAGTCTGATGGAACTGATGACATTTGATGGCGGCCTTCCCTGTGAGTGTCAGGGGTTTAGAAACCCTTAAGGGTTGCTGAAGGGTGAGTAGCTACCCTGGCAGAGCTTAGAATGTGAGACACAGCCCATGTGGCTGTGTGTGTGCTGAATCTTCTGGCCTTCTATGCACATGTGATTGAGAAAGAGAGGCCCAGGGCGTGTGTCTGGGTTTAAATGAGTGTGGCTGACTATGTGGCATGTATGTAAAAGTGTGCCTGAGCTGGGCCTTAACAATGTAGCCAATGTTGGGAGAGAGTGGAGGAGGGCTCTGTGCAAGGTAGGTACCATCCCAGAATGCCACACGGATGAGCGCACACACACACACACACACACACACACACACACAGCTGTGAGGAGGA